AGCTGACTGTCAAAGAGAACTGAGAATAATACACACACACGCGCGGGCGCACACACACACACACACACACACACACACACACACACCTGTATACCCTTATTTGCTATTTTGTGAACTGAGTCTTAAATTATTTGTTTCTATCTGCAGGACGTAGTAAATTTTAAACAACTCATTGATTTACCAGCAAGGACGTCGATTTCTATCTCAAAAATCGGATAACTACCTCCGGGACATGTTAGTCGACAAAGCGCCCACAACTGCATTATATCAGTATCATTTCGTCAGTAATATATGAAAGTTGTCTGATGTTATCTGGAGTACATTGTACATATAGGATAGAATTTTACACTGAGCTGCCAACAGTCACAAAATTTGGTATTGATATTAAGATCAACCAGTGTCGCTCGGCAAAATCAATAGCAGTTCATTCATTGTTGCGACATGGACTGGTTTTCAGATCTGTAAAAGTTGCTTTGTTGAATTCTCAATTATCCTGACTTAGTAGCTTGCACTTCGTTTTAAAGAAAATAACATTTTCAAACGGTCATCCACATATATATTTTTTCTCATTTATTTAATTTGTTTGTTTATTCTTTATTCATCTTCTAATTTGCCATCGTTCTATTTGTTTGTTTATTGTGCTTGTGCGTGTTTGAAACAGGGCACGGCATTAAAGTGTCATGACATGCGACGAAAATAACTCAACCCACCTTATTCTTTGATAGTGACCACTTACAGGGCAACATAACCGCCCCTGGACAATCTTCTCGGACACGGTCCAGTAGATGACGGGCAGTAAGATGACCACAGGCTGTCATTCCATCAGGGCATGCTCAGCCCCGTACATCAAACATAGCAATTACATTATATAATTTGTTGCACAACAGTCAGACGTGGCGCTTGCCCTGTCTGCGGGCTGCACTGATCATTATCTCACCTCCCAATGCAAAAACAACAAAACAGTCTACAATGCTGCCATATTTTTACGCCATTTTCACACAGCTAAAAGTGTGTGCACAGTTAGATCTTCATTTACCGACGCCGTAACTGAATCGAACTTAAGGTTATAGTGTTTATTAGTGTCACAATATAAGATGTATCTGCACATCTTGTTGCAGCTTCAACGTGATGACAAACTAATACATACTCCTACTGTATATACATAAATCCATCACTTCTTGAACAATAATAAATAAATAAATAGATAAATAAGTAAATAAGTGAATGAGATTCTTAGATTTCTGTGACATTACAACGTGTGTTTACTTGATTAAGGATAGTGTTAGCCTTTGCCAAAAACACCTTATTTACTGCTTTGCATACATTATTTTGGATTACAGATAAATCTTCAGTGTTCATTGCCTAATTAATTAACATTAAAATGCATACCATCTTAAGTGCAACGTCATTATTGCGATTTTGAGGTAAAAATTGAAAAATCGGTTTCTCTCATTTCTCCTTTACCTGAGCACTTACAAACACCGTTTTAACGCCAATTTAATGACACTATTTAGTACTCCAGAACCCTGTCAGCGATCTTTCTTAAAAGTTTTCGTTCAGATTTTATCGTTGGTAAAGCAAAACTTTGCCTTTATTTAATAAAAATCTGCAATTAGGGCTCACAACTCCATTACGGCATAGTATTGTATCCCATACACTTGTGGTCAACTATGTCAATTTTTTTGTGATAAAATCTTGTTCAGGGATGAAGATACACTCCATGCCGTTTGCAATCTCACCTCAAAATTTTGTTTTGAGTTGCTTGTGCTTATATATTGCAACGAGAAATACAAATGACAACATTTTCGAGGGGATTTTAATTGTTTTTAATCAGCACAAAGATATATGTATTATTGAATAATCAGATGCAGGAAAACCTCATGTCCGGTATCAGGTCGATAATAAAAGCTTACAATGCCCTTAAAAACCGGCATCAGAATGTATTGCTGCATAACAGTTACAATTACTTCAAATCTGCCTTGTTTCATGTTCAAATAATTTATATGACTAAATCTATACTAGGATCACCGAACAAAATAAATCCTTTTTTTTTTTTGCGTTTTAGGATATGCTTCTGGGTGTATAAAATTCCGCAAGATGGACCCGGATTTTTTTTATTGGATGAAACCATATCTTATATGACAATATGGCAATTTGGATTGGCATACAAAAAATTGTTAGAACAGCATACATATTTACCTAAAATAATATTCACATAAGCGAAACATTTTCAGAAATATTTACACATACGCCCATGCATTCACTGATATGTGAATCGCAAAACAAGGCCTTGGTATCGGATCACAGTGTTACCACCATAAACCAACAGCAGTAACGATAATGATGATGAACAACTTCGAACCGTCAATAGTTACAGTGACGTAACACGGTTGTAGACGCGGTGAAGGACATAACACCTCAGTTGCTGGAAAGCTGATACAAGTTTATCCACATACCAGTATAGTGTATAAGTAATTACAGATAGTTTCAGTTGTAAAGAGATCGTTATTGATATGCGCTTGTGGCACCTACCGTACATGTATATGTAGGCCAAAATGCCGATATATGGACCTGGGTATATGTAAAGTAAAGGTTCACTTACTCTTTAAAACCATTAGGTGGCTAATGCAACACCCAACATCAATATGATATATACATATACATCGATGTTATTTGTGAATTGAAGCCAATCGTTTAAAAAAAGAGAAAATAAACGAAAGAGAAAGACGGATTCCCAATTCCAAGACTTACTTGTACGTTTTGACAACTGAGCTAAAACGATCGGTTCCTAAAAGCAATTTGACGTGGCTTTCAACCACAACGTTCATAACATATGGCAAAAAACGGTATCACATTTTACATTATAAAATCCCAATTTTCCGTTCTCTATAACTTATCTTCCAAATGCCAATTCTATCAGCATATCACCATGTCTAAAACCATACTCTGTGCGAATTCATCTTTATCGTTTCTACTGTGTTTTCAACCTGACTAGATAAAACTGCATACCTTGTTTTTTTCGAAAATGATTCAAGTCCGACGTCTTGTTTCAGTCTTCTTCATCTGTGGTCTACCCTCAGCTAGAACGTATTAGTTACACATAAACTCGGCTACGATGCATATTCGCTGTAGTAGAACTGAACAGCCGCCAATCAGACAGCGGCCTAAACTGATCACTTCGCAGCTTTCAGAATCACATCCGATTACAAGCCGTGATCAATAAGTCGGAATTAATAAAATATCATCGGGGAATAGAAAAACGGAAAGGGTGGACATAAAATATGTGTTGGAATATGACAGCGTTTTAAGTTCGAGTAAAAGAGACGAGCAGCAGAATGACAGATTATGTTCAATCAAGAGCTTATTGCGTCCAGCAATGAACGAGGTGTTGGAATAACCAATCAAACTTACAAATAAAACGATGTTTTACAAGATTGTAGAGGATAAGTACATATTAGCTCGTAATTCTGCAAATATAAGTCTCAGGTTATTGTGTTTTTTTGATTTAAGTAATTACGAAAGCCTTATTGTATATATCGTAGCATACCCGCGCATCTGTACCCCCCCCCCACCCCCATTTTTTTTTTTTTGGGGGGGGGTTTAGGGGGAAACGTGTGGCTTTTTCTTTTTGTTCTTTCTTTCTTGCAACATTTCTTCAAGATTATGGTTTAATCAAACACACAATGAAATGATAAGATCACAATGTACATGTTTATCCCTTAAAAAGTCCTGTAAACGCCGCCTTTGCTTGATCTTCATATTTCTAATAACTGCAAAATATACACAAAAAACGCCAGAACAGATTTTTCAATATGAATCGATGTGGTGGGAGATTGTTAGGATACATGTATAATAGTAATAAGCTTTATATAGTGCTTTATCTTACTTTTTTACTTTATAAATGTTTATTGTCACGACGTTGAAGTAAAAATAAAGTACCAATAATAATAATAATAATAATTATTATTGTTATTATTATTATTATTATATTGTTATTTTTATGAAACAAGTTAACATTATCCGTGTATGAAAAGTCAAGATACACGTTATTTCTTATAGTGCATGGGCAGAATTGACTTTTTTCTAAGAGCCAAGCAATAGTTCACAGGTATAGCCCCACTGACTGAGAGGTTGTTATCCGAGTTCTCACTTATGCGACATTGCATTACATAAACACGAAATGTTGCGTTCGGTTACGAAATCTCCAGAGTTAAAGTACATTTGCATATAATGCCAGTTAAAGCCTCTTTTTGTCTTAACGAATACTAATATGTCAACGGTAAATGTTAGCACACAAGACATTACATCAGGCTTTAATATGTCGTTTATCTAAACGACAGGGTTTTCTTTCACGTGGCAATGACATTTTATTTTTTAATTCGTCTGTCTTTTTATAAATGGTTTAGACATGAACCACAAACGACATGGTAGTAGCAAGAGACTGTAAAGTTCCTCGATATTTTTTGGGTTGTATGATATTGCTTGACATTTTTTCTTTTGCGGTAATTGCAGAACCTAAATAAAGTATTTCAAAGGTCAACGACGGTGAAAGTACCACGCTATTTAAGCCAGGTAATATTAAGATGGAGTTTAGCTTGACAAAAATAAAAATAAGAAGTATTTGATTGTCTTGATTGAAAACATTTTCTAAAATTTTTCTATTCAAGGGATGCTAATTAGGAGAATAGCATTGGTTATAGAAAACGATTTATCCAAGTTAAAAGCAATAGTTATGATTCAAGACATTACAATATGCTGACGTACGTGCCAGATATCGGTAAAGTTGTTGCAGCAATTACCGTAAAATACCCCCTCCCATTCAGCCTGTCCCCTTGGGGCTTTGTGTCACTTTTACAGTAGCAATCCCCTACCCCCAGGATAAACTGTCGTTTGAAAAGATCTTCTAAGCGTACATGAGCAAACTTGAATACCAAGCAAGCACAGACAACGTTAATTATGATACATGTGCGATAGGTAGCAACGCTCGTTTATAAACTTACCAAGGATTCTGAACTGTGGCAATGTCCAGTTATAGTGTGACGCGCATATAGACGTCCATGAGTAGAGTCCACGTTTTCTGCCAGCGTCCGTGAAGAAATCGACAAATTAAAAGAGGCACCCAAACGAAGAATTCGGCTGATGGCTCTCTGTGAAAGACTTGAGGAATAATGTAAGTGAATCCGACAATATGCCTATGTTGAGGTCCTGTGCTGAAGTTTTTTCCTTTCCCTTTTTTATATATCTCTTTTTGTGCTCAAAAAATGCACACCCCTCACCGGACTACATTCAGAGATGGCAACAGAGAAATCACCCTCAGTAAAGTGAGACATGCATGTGTTCTTGATAAGCTGTAGACCAGTATCCCTTCAGTTTGAATTCAGACAAACCGGTGCCACTCTTTGCTACACGTGATGACGGCCAGCACTTTTAGCTTTTACCTCTAGTAAAACGAGACGATAAAAAAAGGCCGAGGGAAAGAACTCCTTGAAAAAGGAAATATAATTCACACAATAATACACACTGTTGTCAGAATTGGGTAGTAGCTAGACGTAGGTCATTACACGCGCGTGCGTTGTTGTGCCGTTGTTTCTAGGCGGAGACCTACGTGAGAGTTGCAGGTTGTCTATACCATGCGCGGGTAGTGTAACGTTACATCCCTTCGTTGACTGTCTCTTGCTTGCCTCTGTCTTTGAAACGAAAACGTGTGCACTTGCAGCTGCTCTGAGGGCGTTCGGACAACGTTGTTTTATATTAACAAGTGCTGGGTGGTGGGTGTAGTTTTTGTGTTCATTTTCTTTTGTAGCATTTCATTGTTGCAACTTATCTTTTGAAGTACTGTAGTCGTGATCTCAGTCTACGTGCATCAGACCGATTGAAGCAATATTACTCCAACATCAAATGACACGGTTTAGGCGCCCCCCCCCCCCCAAAAAAAAGTTTTCAACTACCATTCCCTATTTTTATTCTTATTATTTTATTATTTTCTATATTTATTATTACATTTGACACAGTTATTCCTTGAACTTTCCCTCTCACGTCCTCTTGTTCAGACACCAGCTCAACTCATGTAATGATATAAAATAAAGTTATTGTTAAACACTGACATAGATGTATAAACATGTTTTATGCAGGGCCAAAATATTTGTATCAAATACTAAATTAGAACTTTTGCAAAATGTGTTTTGATCTTCCCCCTAAAAAAGACTAAGTCACGTTTTGTAGATCCCCTGCAGTTTTGAAACCCGTGCACAGCAATCCATGCCATTATGAAACACAGCACAGTAATTTGTTTTATGCAACGCTGTTATCTTTTAACAACCAATCGTTATAATTGCTTTATTTTAAAACAGCAAAATCGTCCTATGCGTTTTAACGATAGTATACATGAACTGTATTTTTATGTTGCCTTGTGCATTTAAGAGGTTTATTTTTGAGCAAGGCTTTTGATCAGAGTACGTAATCCGACCGTTTTAGATTATTCAAAAGATGTTGCACTCCTTTGAAACACACGTAAGCACGATTGAGTTAGAAAAATACAAACAAAACTATTACAAAGCTCACTGAAATATATGTACTTATACTTAATATTGTTAAAATAGAACCAATGGCATTTACATAGGAGAAAATAATGGCATTTCAGATGTGCGGTTTTCGCGGCTAGACGGATATTTGTCAAGTAATATGGACACGTGTAATTCCTAATAACTTTGACTATTGAAACACCAGGTACAAGCTAGAAGGCGGAAATAAACAGGTAAGACGTCCGAGTCTAATACATCTTCTTGACAAGAGAGCTATCATTATCGCTACAAACGATTTCCAGGGGTTCTTTGGAAACGTTCAACAACCTTGGAGAAGTTTTTTTTTTTCGACGAAACTGTGTTAAAATATACATGTGTCTACGTGTAATAGTAGGAAGTTGTGTTTACGTCACGACCGTTAACAAAAAGGTCACAAGAAAAAATTCAAACAGGCTCTCTGAAAAACGCCTTATGCCAGGTAACTGGTTAGATATTCACATTCGCTTACAATAGTGAAAATAACTCCTTAGATCATCATTTTTACCCACGAGAGTTTATGGACCGTTCAGTAATTTTGACAAGAAAAACGTTTCACTTAGACGGACAGGCGCAATAGCATGTTTCATAGTTTGCGTCACAGCTATTACAAAACGCGTCAGTCTTCAGGTGTCGACGCCGTTAGCGTGTCTTGCGTGACGAAACCAATGATAAATTTTGTGAGGTTCAAATATAAGCAAGAGGTGACGGTAGTTTGAAAACTTGTAATCGTTTTTGTCTCGCACATCCCTGCTTTGTTGCTCATGGGGGCTGAGAAAATTGCGAGCTGTGACTCATTCGTTAGCTGTCAATCTCTCATAAAGAACGGTTGTCATTTTTTGTGTGTCTTTAATTTTAACACTCTTTTTACTGAGGACAGATGTCGTTTTTTCAGCATCACTCTAATGAAAGGCATCTTTTAAAATGGTTCTTTTCGCATGGTAATAATCGCTATTAATTATTTGACCAAAAACAAAAAAGGAGCATCTCATTCACGTGCGTTTACTTGTACCAAGTTGCATGCTGCTAGGTGTTGCATTATAAGAACTCCAAATCCACTTTTTACACAATCTATTAAATCATAATTATTACGTATCTAAAACCAGCCCATTAAGACATTATTTATGTTTGTTTTACATCGTTTACTTTTCATCAACCGCTGTTTTCGCATGCATGAGTATCAAGAAGAAGACCCTTGTCCGAGCATATCCATTAGCTAGCTGGCAAATTATTTATCATTTTGTCAAAATCACGATAACATTTAATGAAATAAAAGGTAAACGATGTCCAAGCGTAATAACTGAATGATCACGAGTGATGAGTGATGAGCGATGCCATATTGCATCCGGTTTTGAGCACTTCCAATAAACATCGTCATTCTTGGCTGTGTCAGCAACAGTTTTTTGAAAACCTCCTATATGACGGTGCATTATATAGTAAGAACTGGGACACAAAAAATGCAACCGGTTCATTAATAAGCAGACCCCAGGGCAGGGGCGAATCCAGGATTATTTGAAAGGGGGTCCGCAGATGCAAAGCTGACCCTCACCTCCTCCTCCCCTTTGCTGTGGGGTCCCGAAAAAATGTGATATGTTAGAGGGCGGACGATGCCAATTGGGTCGGTTTAGAACCATAATTTAACTAGTAAAAATTCTAAATTCAAGTAGGGACTATTGGTCTGATTTTTTCATAAATCGAAGGGGAGGACCCACCTAACCCCCCCTTCCAAATCCGCCAATGCCAGAGGCAGGTGGTCCGCTCCACTGAACAAATAAACTTGGCGCATTGAACTCCCAACCCCCTACGAGAAGAAACTGATAAGATGGGAAGGAAAAGAATCGCTGTAGAGACCTCAGAGGAAAGATGTAACAAATGGCACTTTATTCTTCAGTACCCTTCCCTCTGGAAGTGGGAGGAGAATGAACAAACAAACAAACAAACAAATAAACAAATAAATAAAGAAATAGTTTGGGTTTCCCATACTAGCTACCCTGGACAGACCAGTTATGATCACTTTTGCAAAAAAAATCATCGCAAAATAGAAATTATACATCAGAAGCATTATATCACGTGTGATGGCATTTGAAATCCCTTGCATGCCAAGCTTAATGAAATTATAAACTTGAAATGTTGTTAGAATGAGATCCATTCAACTGAGCGATGGAATACATTTATCTTTCCAAATATTTTGTAACCTATTCAATCTCATGCGAACAATTACTACACAATTCTTAAACCTTGGAGGTAAAATGTTTGTCTGAATTTAATGGAACATTTCTTTCCAATGCGCTTTGGTGTCAAAATATGTGAAAAATTGTTTTCTTTTCTGACGATTTGTTTAGCATCTTTTTGGCAGTTTCAGTGAAACCGACTCCCTCGTGAAAAGGTAAAATTGTTCAGGACTTATTGTTGTAGTTTGGTGGGAACTCCTCCTTTTTGTTGGACCATACAACCGTGACCAAGAAAGAATATTTTTTCACCAAGGTTGTAATGTGATATTACAAAGGAAATTGAACTGCAATATTTTGCTAGGGGGTGGTCGACCCCAGCAAAGTCGAAAATCCAGGGCAAAATGGTTTCCATCGTTTCAATACTCATGTCTTTGTGTGCTTTAGCAACAACATTGCAAGCGACGATTATTCTAGACGTGAATTATTGAGGATATGAAAATCTTGTGCAGCGTCATGTATTGTTAAATAAACGACATGGACGGACATTCAGTATCCTTTAAAGATACAATTTCAAACGTGCTGTTATGTACCTTTTTGTTCTTATCATGTCTTGTTAAAGCCAAATTAAGCTGTAAATAGCGAAGTATTCATATAACTGCAAATAGCATATAATAGTTTAAGGTTACCGAAACTGGTTTTTGTAGAATTTGTAAAAACTATGGTCAATGATAGAGATACGTGTCAACATAATGTATCTTGTTCATTGCCTATGCTGTCCTGACTTCAGTCTCTCTTGAAAAATACAGAATAACTTTTTTTGTCTATTTGCTTATTTTTCAAAAGACGCTCCTCTGTCGCACTGACAATATCACATTTTTTTACTGCATTTGTGTTAAATTCTCACAATCATGCCCACCAACAGTACTATAATATGCACATGCTAAAATAGGCGACTGCTGCTTTTAGTGTTTTGTTGGGCATTTTATGACTTCTCACTATTAGTTTAATCTAGGCTTGTTTAGAACGAATGTGCAATGCATATATACTGAAAATATTTATATTCAGTTTCGTCTGTCCTGTCAAACCCGGTTCGAGGCTATAAAAATTTCATCATGGACAAATAAGAAAATAAAACTACATTACTGCCATCTATCGATCAATAACTGGATGCCTGCGTACAACAACAAATGACGGTGCCGCTCTCTATTGGGAATTATGTTGCATTTCTCCAATTTTTTCACACCAAACACAGTTTACTTTTAGTGAGTTTGGCGTTCATCAATATTTATGCATTTCATTATTTGCTTAACAAGTTGAACTTCTTCTTTAAAAATTATTTTGAAATAATTCTGTTTCGTGTTTCAAAATGTATATTAAATAAATAGCAGTATAAACTTAACTTTTTAATAGATAAATAGAACATTTGAGTATTTGTTTCAACTTGTTAGATTTAATTAAACATAATTGATTAGCTTTAAATTAAATGGACATAGAGAAATCCAAAAACCAAATAATATTAGACGACATTTATTTTCAATGGAAATTCCAGACTAAAGGAACAGCAGTGACATGAAGACGGGTACATATTACACTTACAGTATTTGACTATGTACACTTCAAACCCGACCTAGAGATATTTTATTCAAAAACATGTAAAGACATGTAAGAAAAGCTAGCTGAACAGTGAGATGGGTTAAAGTGTATTCACAGAGCCATACAGATGATTTGCCTGCATTATTTCATCTAAAGCCTAATGAATTAAACAAATTATATATACAAAACAAGTTGGTAATTCGTTTATTTACCAACTTTTAGTATCAGTATTCGATGATTTGGCAAAATGCAACATAACACGCCTACCGTTGTAAAAGCGCTTGCCTGTGGGCCTTGTACAAAACAAAAACTAAAAATACCCAATTTTTCAAAAACAGTCGCTTTCTCAAAAGAAAAACGCACCGTTTAGTGATTCGGGGCAATGTGCAGAGAACGCTGAATATTGTTATTACTATTTTTTGACTCGGATCATCAACCCACCCATCCATGACCACTTACCAAGCAAGAGTCACTGTTCAAACTCTGTTTGTCAAGATAGAAACTTAACATTAGGAACTTAAGCACCTCAGTGTACACTATGCTCTGGATCCTTGACCTCTTTTATGACGCACGAAAGATGGGCTGCAATTATTTTTGAAATTCTCATTTACCAATGATAAAAAAGTGATAGGGAGGTTGTAGATGGTTACAATGACATTTAACAAAACATAACCAGAATAGTGCTTACTAGTTCTATAATAAACAGGGTGTGGTGAGGGCTATTAAACTCCAGTATCTGCAATTGAGGTATTAGGTGTACAATGCCGTCCCATTAATAGGCTTTTATCGTTATATATATACACACAGTATAGAGGCCTTGACCTACTTGTTGGTGTATGGTCAAAAAGGCAATGCATTGTTTCATAGGGGTGTGTTATGATGAAAGTGTGTTTTTATCTCCACGGACTATCTGACACTCCACCTCAAAGGACGAAGGAAAAACATCAGTGTTACTATACTGCACAAAGTCACGCAAACATTTCATGTGCCTCTGAAAACACACGGCGATTGGTCATTTGATTGATGAGTTGGCCTTGTTGCATTTTGAGAAAAATATAGTCAGAAGTTAAAGGGCAGTAGTAGGCGTCATTGATACTACAGCAAACCGGGGTGGTCTATTAAAATGATGAAAATTATGATACGATGAGGATGACATACCTCTCTGCAGAAAAAAAAATCATTGCAGCTTAAGAACTAATGGCACTTGGATTTCACACAAAACATGAGAAATAACAGCAATAGCAATATTACCAAATACAGTGTACAGAGAATTAGAAAAATGCATTGTGGCAAGTGAGAAACAGAACTTTAAATATTTCCATAGTTTCATGTCTGCCGTATTATTGGTTGATAACGCTAACTATTAAATATAATTTTAAGTTTGATGAGAAAATAATCATAAACCGGCATTTGTGATGCCTCTTAATTTCGTAGGGACAGTATCAAGTCAATTCCAAATCTATTGTTGAGACGAAAACGGTTTTCATAATAAATAAAAACAAAGCAACTAGTGCTTATTGTCGATGTTGCTAAACGTAAAAATTCCTGGAGGAGTTATTTGTAATCCGTTCATATGTATAATAGTATAACAGTAACAAAGATTTCAGCGTGTTTATAATGTAAACTAATGTGAAACTGGCAAATAATGATGGCATGCTAATGGTAAGAGAAGGCGATTTCACGCACACGCAAAAAACATTAGCTAGACTGACTAACATGACGTTTGCCCATCTGGTATGTCGTAACACATGTTCAACATGTTTAAACTCGTGAAATTGCAACGTTCAAGAAAAGAAAAACATTGCCTTTGAAATTGTATCATGTAAGTGGAAATGTAAAACATGGCTATTACAATATCTTTCCTTTTATCTGTGTTGTTTTATCAAGTCTAAGCAACTAAACATGTGCGGTGTTATGTTAATCATGAAGACAGAGCCCCTTAATGGCTAAGTTAAATTATCTGTTTGCCTGACACTGGGACACACATGATGATATTATGAAATAAAGATGGTTTGATACCTTTTGGTACATAAACTTACTACAAACATTATATCGACTGAGAGTATGAATTTAGCTTACTTTCTGAAATGTTTGCACTAGAAACGCCATTTTATCCGCAAAAACACACTAGCTATTTTAAACAATTTTTAGAAGATACTGGTGGATCCAGGCATTGCTTGGAATTGGGTATCGTAACAAAAATTATACAAGAATAATACACTTTATAAAACGATATACGAAAGATTTCTTATTATATCATGTAGACGCAAGTGAGGAAACTAAAATGCTATCTGTTGTCTAGTTTCGCTGGCAATGTTAAATATACATTTTTTTTTTTGGGGGGGGGAGAGGGTGGAGGGTCTGTCGCAGAAGATAAAGGAGAGAAACGTTCCCTTTGTGCACTGGATCCGCCATTGCTACAATAATGCATGAACAAAATCAATACGATTGCAACAGAATATTTTTATAAAATGCTTAAGTACTTCTCGTGAAATCGTTAAAGGTCAGAGATCGAAACCCGCCAATGAATGCTGTACAATCATATCTAACACGTAGCCTACTATTTACAATAAGGAAAAGTACACGTATACAATATCCACCTAATTGGTAAAATTTAATAAATAGAACACTGACGAGAACAACATCACTGTATTATCATAGAAGAAATGCGTTCTGACGCATGCGCTGCTCACTGGTGTATACAGACAGTACTTAGTAGCCTCTCATTAAGTGGTGCTTGAACCATGGAACCCCTGTCATTTTTTATATATAAATACTGTCAGGTCTATGAACAAAAACCACCAATTTGGCCACTGTAAAAAAGATTCGGATTTGCCCAAAGGACACCACCTAATTATCATATTTTAACACGACGATGGAATACATATCGAGTTCAATCTTCTCGCTTTCTTGTCTTTGACGCACCTGCGCAATATTGTCGATATTTTAATGCCTGTTTTTTCAACTTTAAGTACTTGTGTTCTGACATCTTTTAAGTAACTGTTTGGTGCCACGGCATTTGCGCATTGGGTGCCTGTTCTAGTCATAAATGAGCAAGTTTCGGTGGACCGTGATACGTCCCCTGAGAGTAAGGCGAGGCCCCGTTCAAAGGACCACAGTTACCAACGGAAGGGTGCGAGAGGGGTTGCGACGCGACTGGGTACGACGCAGCCATTGGCGGAGTGTGCGCGAGCGGCGACCGTGAGTGAGATAAACTTTGGCTCATAGAAGCAGCGCTCAGTGCGCAAGCGTTGTTCTGTTGCGCCACCTGGTGTGATGCGTGAAGCGACGACAGCGCCTCCTTGTTTTCTGTCGGGCTGCCGGGGAGGCCTTCCATTTTGGCGTGATGTTGAAGCTGTTTTTCGAGCATGACTTTTTGCTTCTGTTCCTTTTTGAATTTCATGCGTCTATTTTGAAACCATATCTTGATCTGGCGTTCTGTGAGGTTGAGCAATGCCGCCATTTCAATCCGTCTTGGCCGACATAAGTAGCGGTTAAAATGAAACTCTTTTTCTAGTTCAACTAGCTGCGCGCTCGTGTACGCCGTCCTGGCTCTCTTGGTCGGTTGTTCTCCATTAGTAAATTCTAGAAGATAAAAAATAAAAATAAAAATTACTAGGTGTAATGTATAAACATTCTATTGTAAAAATTAGATAACTATATAAACAACATATTAGTTAAAATATATGTTTTCAATCGAGCATCCGACCGAAATAAGATAAATTCGATTCTATATAAATCCGGATGTTCAGTTTTCCACTAGACTTCTCGAAAATAAAAATGAAATGTACATTAAAATGAAATACGTGCTACTGAAACAAGTAAATTTAATTGACCAAAATACAATAAACTGTTTAGTGTAATTTAATACATAATGGTGGAAATTCTATTATGTCATATTAAGCGATTCTTTAAATGCTTTTTGATAATAAGCACAATTTTCACAACAACAGCAAGGAATTGCAAATATATTTTTCTTTTTGAAAATGCACATTCAAGCACCTTATATTTACAGTGTATATTTACAATCTGAATCTCCTTAATTAAGTTAGTTATTTCTTTTATAAAATTATCCTTTGGAGTCCACTTTACCAATTATCTATTCTGTGTTACAAAAGTTATGAATCCTAATATCACCGTGTATATTTTCGCACTTTTTCAACAAAATTAAACGAACATTGGTCTTTCGCAACAGTGTTAAAGCGCACCTGTCGCAATTACTGGGAAAATCGCCACTGGTCCGTTCATACTTCACACTGTTTTGGCATGAACGATGACACTATTATGAAACAAATTTGGGGAGTGAGATCATGCATTCATCAATAAAAACAGCTGCAGCAATATAATATCCAAATCATCTTAGTTTGATTGGACAATATAATGCATCATTGATTTTAAACAGAATTTTAAAATTCACTTGGAATCCAGTTATTTCACTTAATCGTTCATGCAAGTTGAAGCTATGTACAGTTCTTAGTTTCCTCCTTTTTTGTATGCCGTTATACAATACATACACTGAGGAATATTTAAACCCCGTTACCGAGTCGGTAAGTCTCTTTACAGGCGATCTCTGTATTTTTCTAATTTTTTCCTGTTATACTATTCAGAAAGGCGAAATCAATATAAAAAGGGTGCAGCAAACAGTTACAAAGCTCGTTTGTTAGGACAGAATGCACAGAAGATGGACAGAAGCATCAATATTAGGACAAACACCACTGTTATTATTATTATCAAGGCCTGCCTCGACAGAGAAATGGGGTATGGCAATGCCTCTGTATTCCCTATAATCAGTATTTCTCACTCCCCGCATTTACTAACCACTATAGTTTTCTAGTAAGAGTAATTAATAGGGATCCCGGCTGAACATACATGTATATATTTTCATAGTTCACAGGGAAACCATTGTCATGGTTAAGGCGCGTTCAGACAGCAAGGACAAACCCGAAGCCCAGGGGCGGATTTAGGCCATCTTCTGGGTCTTCCGGAAGACGGTCAGTTTTTAAAGTTTACATTGACGGGTATCGAATTTTTTCTGTTGGAAGATGGTCAAAAAAGAAGAAAGGATCAACAAAGATAATTTGTAAGACTGTCAGAAAATATCTATGAATACGCCCCTGCCGAACAGGTTAAGGTCTTCATGAGTTTACTATCGCTACAAATATTGATGATAGTGCCAATAATAGTAACTAAGGGTAATATAATATATAAACAACAAAGTATACATGCCGCCCATCGCCAAACTGTGAACTGCTAAAGAGGAGGGCGGTAGGGTCCTTAGATACGGTCCTGGGCTTGAGACTGCAACTTCAACCTCAAATGAATATTAACCCAATCTTCATGTCTTGTTATTTGGACCTAGACCGGTCTGAGTGTGTGTAAACACATAAACTCGGATAACAGCAGAGTCATATACAGTGAAGTACAGGTGTCCCAGATCAAAGGGCCCCGAACCATTGTTATCTTGCATAATACGTTACTTAATGACGGCTATTTTCACGCCAGTCGTGTCTCATCAAAGGCACATTGGATAAAAGAGAGTAGCGGGTAATACACTTCTGTCTTTATAATGAAGCGGTATGAGTAGAACGTATTTTTCATTTGTCTTTGATCCTGATGTGATGTAAAAGAAGGAGTAGGCCCTACTCTTTTCTATGAAGGTGGTGTATTATACCCCCCCTCACACACACACACACACACACACACACAGAACGCAGACCTCTTACATGTAATTTATGAACGGACGCTCAGTTTTCCACACAATCAAATGGGGGATAACAAAAAGATTTTAAGATCACAAAGCAAACAAAAATATATTTATACGTGTAAATGCTACTCATTTTGGGGAAGAGACGCAAAGACTACTAGCCGTTTTGTGGTATTTTGACTCGAATGCAACGCATGTTCCTTTTACCGAGACTTTTCGCAAATACTGATTTGAAAAGGAAGAGCAAAAGTTAATGCTCATTCTAATTAACATCAGAGCCGCGCACACGCATTTTTCAGATGAACATCAGTTCTCACTTACTTACTAGAGAGTTGATGGAAACTGTTCCATGTATTAATTATAGCTCTAATATACCGGTAAAACATACAAATTTGATTGTACTAAAACGTAGCATAAAGATGACATCTTTTCCGTGCATATATAATCTATGTATGTATTCGTATTGCCACATAAATTTTGTGGTTATATATTTACTGTTAGGCATCATTAACTCAACGCTGTATAATGAGTATTATTTATATGTTTTATGTATGTACTGTCAACAGATGCTTCCCAATTATAAGCAGAAATTAACTTATTGTCATTTTAAATATTAATGTGCTGGGCGTTGTTTCAGAAGTACTTTATTACTTAAAACTTAAAAGTTCTTAGACTGACTTAGACCGCTAAAATCCATTAGCCGGCTACGCAAAGTATAAGTCAAGAAGTTCAAGAGTGGTTTGTCCACAATAAACGTATTTGACATACTTCAAAGGTTCTGTCACCCGGAGAAGATGCAACCCTTAGTCAAGACAAGCGCAGAGAGCTTAAAACGGAAAGCGAAATGAGAGGCCTTAAATTTTTTTATTTTTATCTTAATTTTTTACTTAGTATTTATTTATTTATTTCAAAAGTCAACTTAGTCTGTTAAACGTGGCCCATCCGGGATTTTTCCGCTAAATAGAATTTCACTTGGAAAAAATTATTCAAGATCACTGCTCGACACATCCCTGCACTAGCATTTTTCATACCAATTCTATATAAGCTTAAATTTAGTTCTAGCTGGCTGGTCAAACACCCAGACTGCCATGACATCATGTACCTTGCTGGAGAAAATATCGACCTCGGGTACTTTTATAGAGGGGGGGGGGGGGGTGAGGGTAGCGATTTATAAGTGCTCGATTCGAAAATATAATTAACTTTGCAAGACATATGTACTGGTAGACATAGAAAATATGACTTGAAGATTTTTTTTCAAACACGGATAGTACATGTACCCCTTTAAATATCAAAGGGCCACGATGTCACGCGTACCCTAAAGCGGACTTCGGCATTTTCGAGAAACAGATCCCTTTAAATGTTAAAGGACAAGATGTTACACGTACCCCAAAGCGGACATAAGACATTTTCCTGAAAGAGGTCCCGGTTGTACTTTTACGTTCCAAGTTTGGGATTCAGCACCAGACACCCGTTGACATTCATCGATTTTACTAATGAAATTCTTGTTGTCCAACGATAGACGTACATGTCTACAAGAAACCAATAGTGTTAACATCGACCTGATTAATCAGCAATCCCAGAAAAAAAATTCACTACAGATATTGGCATTACAATTAATTTATCACATGATTATTCATATGTTTATAAATGTATTTGAATTCATATTCCTACTGTAAAACAAATTTATGCCTGCCTTATAGTACATCTAACCATTCTTCTTTTTTACGCGTAATTTATTGTGAAAAAAAAGGTTGCAATAAAAATAAATCAAAAGCATCAGATAAGATATCAAATACTTAAAAGACTCACGCAAGAGCGGCGTCGCTTATGCAAAACGCACACTTATAGGCAAGAGTAAATTATTATGGATAAATAAACCATTGATTTTGTCCTATTTCCATTTTTTGCTTTCTTCAAACTATGCGAATTGACATTAATCGAAAACAATATTTTTAAATGAAAAACAGTAATACGTTTTCCCAAAGAAAAGATTATTCTACTTAAACATGTACATGTAACTATAACCATCGCCGTTAGATACAGTAGTGTCTTTTCAAACTAATAAATCATAGTCAAGATTAATTTAACGAGTCTCTTACATGAGAATGCCTTATATCGCATACTTTAACATTCTTATAAATTGTTCGTTGGCGCACGTTGTCGTTTTAATGGGGTGCAATGATTTATGCGGTTGAAAGAAGCAATTGTACGTCGCGATCTTTACCAACAATTGGATTCTGTAATGTCAAGGCGGAGTTGGACAAAAAAAAAAATGCATGGATGAATTGTTTTTGCGCTCTTTTGTTTGTGCATCCATGTCAGCCGTGGCGACGATAAGTATGCCGTTTTCAAAAAAAGAAGGACATTTGGACAAGACGGTGGTGTGGTATTTTGAGAAAAAAAAACGAAACTGGTTGTGTTCTCAATAATGGCAAAAAAAAAAAAAAAAAATCAACTATAAGTCTAAAAATATGCATATATGATGACACACAAACATTATAATTATTAGAAAACTTAAATTCAATATTACTTTCAGTGTCAACGGACTCATTGCAAAATGTCGCGTAGAGGCTGGAAATGTTTCGTTTTATATAAAAAAAATAATAAAAATAAATGGTAATTAAATCAATCCGTTTATAACAACACAGCGGGCAATGCCCTTTTTAAACTGGACACTGAGTGCAAAAAATAATAGAACGGTCAATGGCCGGCACTTGAGGACATACAAATAAGCTCATGTACGTGGAACTATCTGAAACAGCCATAATGGGTGTCAATCGTTTGTAAAACATGAATCTAAAATGTTAACATCGTGTTTTGACATCTCGCCAACCAGGGAGATTTACGGCACTTGGCACAAAGGCAAAATTCCAGGGGGCATTTGTGTTTTAATTAACGTGAGATCTATTTAACGGAACACGAGGATTTGGAGACGAGACAAAATGCCAATGAGATCGGTGATTGGAGCGTCTGGGGCCGAACGTATTTTTGGCGTTAAATTGATCAGGTGCACACAATGTTGAAGGAGGAAAGGACGCCGGGCTTCCCTTTGCATGGAAATGATTGGATATTCAGTCTGGGCGATATATTTTATTATTTGTATTTTTCTTTTCAAACAGATGTCAAACGCATGTATTAAAATCATGTAAGGGGAACACGGTGGATAAAGGAGTAAGCTTCATTATTATATCAAATGTTGTAATAATGGTATTTTGTCACGGTGAATGCACTCTGAAGCTGAAATAGAATAAGTAAGCCTAGCAGCGCTTTCAAAATAAAGATAAATTGCAAATAATGCGTGCAAAGAATTATGCATTTTTTATATAAAATAAATATTTTGTGGTAATAAACTTGCGCCGTATTTTGAATTTCAACGAAAATCCAAGACGCACGTTTTTTTTTACCTTTTTTTTCTCAAAGTAAAAGTCTTAGATCTATTATTTTTTTCTTTAAATTTATGAAACTGTACATTCACCGTTGGGAAGTTTTTTTTCTGAATGAGAACGCAGCTCCGCTAATTCGCCGTTTTTCTTTCCACCACGTAAACCTTATTGTGTACCTACAGTCTTATCTTGCATCCGTGGTGCGGATGTCTCACCACAATCTCTAACAGATTTTCCTTTCTGTCTCTTCCTACTCATCTATCACGTATAGTTCAAATCCGGCCATAACCTTATAGACTAATAACCCCATACAGAAGCAAAGCGGAGGATAACAATAAACTGAGATTAATATTTATACAGCAAGATTAAATCTAGTTTTCGAAATAAATGTTTCCAAAGCGATGTTTGTGAGATGGAGTATTTTCAAAAGTTAATGATTTGTTAATTCATTTACTTATTCGTTTTCTCTGTCATTAATTTATTTGTCCACCTATTTCAGCTTTTATGCAATTTTGTATTTATTGTGTATTTATTTCTTTCCTCTGTCCATACATTCATTCATTCACTTAAATAATCTCCCATGTATCCATTTATTTACTTCTGTCAAAATATCAATATTAATATTAATCAAGAATATCAAGAGTAATCTAATGCATTGGGTATGGCCTTAGAAACAAGTGGCTTACCAAGGTGCTCAAACCCTTATCTATAGGTATATATATGGTAGGACTCCATTTTTCTCGCTATACTTCTTCACTTACACACATATAACTAGCCAAACATTATTTGATGCAGCCATAACAACTACAATCTTTTTTTTTTGGCATTTAAACTTGCGAACACTTACAAGACACGCGCTAGAGAAAGGGAGGCCTACTATATTTAGACTAATTAAAACTTGGTGAGAAAGCCTGCCTTGGATTTTCATAAATTGCGCACATTTACAAAGCGGGGGGCGGGGGGGGGGGAGGGACATCAGTGGATAATCTGACATCATATTTTGTGAATTAAAATTGAGATTTTTTAACTGCCATGCCAAAAAGTTGACCGTTGTATTATACATAATTATACTGGTATCTAAATAAAATTATCCCAGACATGCTCAAGTTATAGTGTGTTTTCATGGGACTACGGCTTGGAATCGTAACTCATTGAAACTATCTCACTCAATATACAGTTAAGCTCGTTGGCAACGTTTTATTATTATTATTATTTTTAGTAGCATGAATGCGGGTGAACTGTAAAAACTGTACCACTCCTCTAATACATATTCCTAGCTACCAAATTTAAAGAATGTAAAGTACTCACAGCAAAAGATTTTTATCTCTAATATTTAGGATACGTTTTGCTGCATTACTCATTCACAACCTTCTGCATGCGTTATTAGAACTATAATAATTCCATCAGGTCGCTGGTTTTTGCAAGACTCAGTAATAAAGACATAGTAAAAACGATTTTTTTTAAACAAAATTCACACAAGGTCTATTTGCGGTCAACCGATGCATCCATTTTATTGCCTTGTTCTTTTTCTTGGATCTCAAGCGGCGATTTCGTGTGCACAATTTGAATGGTGTTTTGCTTTGGATGCGCTTCAAGTGTGCAAGTGACTCTGGTTCTTTTCCAAAATTTGATTGACAGCGCTTGCTCTTTTCAGTTTGTTATTATAGATTTGACCCTATGAACTTAGTATTTTACCCCTTCTTGGTCTGTAGACGCGATGTCGTGCAGGTCTTACCGTAAGGTGCTGGTGTCAGACATTTTAAAAGCGTTGCCATCGCCAAATGTAAATAACGGTGTTACTATTTAATTTGCCTGATGTCACTTATAAAAACCGTGGTGATAAAATGATATTTGCAAAGGTTATGGCAGCAGCATATTTGGTTTAATATAGAACGTTCCACTCCTACTCTCTCTCTCTCTCTCTCTCTCTCTCTCTCTCTCTCTTAAAAGCAGTATACAAGCTTAAATTATTTTTCCATCAACCGCACTCTTGTTAGTAAAGTGTTAAATAAGCTCCGTTTTCGTGTTACCAGCCCTTCACAGTGAATGATAAGATGCAGAGTTAAAAGAGAGGACCTCATTGACGATAGCTACTAAAGGAACTACTACCCACCACAAGACTGCTACTTACCAAAACTGTCACTTGAGTTTTCTAAAAATAAAACAACAAAGGATAAAAAATAGGTTATTCACATTATTATGGAAAAGTTTGTTAAATTTTATTACATAAACCTACACAGTTGCTGATGCAATTCATCAATAATATGGATCAAAGAGCATATAGGACAAATTCAGTTATTTCTATTCCATTCTACTAGCATATCGTACCGCACAACACGCCATGTATCTATCCACATCTTATTAATCTTAATAAAACAATCATCCTTACTTTACCAGATTTTTTTATAAATACGTTTACTATCTCGTTTTCCAGAAATACCACTCGGATCTTTGCAATCTTAACCAAGAAGAACAATAACCGCACGGACTAACGCATGTACATGTACGAGCTTTGCTGAAGGTAATAACAATATACGGTTCACTGCCCGATTCTAATCAAAATCGACAAGAAAGTAAAAGTCTTGCTGGGAAAACAACGCCGGTTAATTTGTACCTCTGGAGTTAAACTCTCTCTAGATTATAATGATCGCATGGAGCAGACGAGGGTTTATGGGGGGGGGGGAGCTCTTTCTTGTTATAAACACCGCATTTACCGGGCTCAAAATATGACACGGGTGTCTGCCACAAGAAAGCTGGGTGACTCATAAAACAGACAGTTGTATATATATACAAAATTGATATTAACAATTTCGACGTCTGTTTATATGTCATAAGAGTCCCAGATCGTTCGCATGGAAAGAACACGTCATATTTCATTAGCAGTTTGCAACATGATGTAGGCTACCATGACAAGCTACAACGCAGCGTTTTTTTTTTTCCAAAATGCCTTAAAATATGAGCAAATGGGACCAAATGTTTAAGCTGTAACCCTATATGCATTTCTTTTCGCCTCTTCTCTCAGGGTCATGAAAAAGATCAGGACTAAAAAAGGAAAATAAAAACACTTTGGTAACCCTTGAGGATCAAATGGCACATGTAAAGACTGGATTTTTTGGGTTTTTTTCACCTAAAACTTTAAAGTGATAAACCCAAGTACAAGAAACCAGAAGCTATCACTTTTAAGATGTTAATGTGTAAATACAGTACCACTACTTGAAAGTAGAGCTGATACGTCAGTAATGCTAGGTCGATTTGATTTTTTTTTTCATTTTTTTCCTGCTTGAAGTAATAAAACGCAGGCCATCCTGAAAATAACGTTTTTTCACCCTTCCTTTTTAACATCGAGATATGCTTAACTTGTAAACATCGATTATCCGAAAAGATCAGCCGTTTACAGCTTTCAAACTAACTCGATGAAACGAATGCCAGTCATCTGTCTTTAGCTTTTGAGAAAATGAATGAAGGCAGTTTGAATATTTTTCTTTTGAGTACCACGTTTTTCTGGTCTTTTTACTTGTTTTTGTTTTATTTTACGTAAGAATTGTCACCTTTAATCCGTATGTACTGTTTGTATTTGATTAGTCACTACGAGGAATTTGTAACTGGTGGAAATAAAAAGAGGAAATACACATTATATTTTTTATTTTTTTGCCACATAGATACTTCTTTAGCACGGAACATAAACCATGAACGTTCTGAAATACATACGCCGCACCATGGTGCTAAACACCAATCTATTGAGTAATTATTTTAAGTCGAAAGTTGACTCCTTAGTTACATCCTCTAAGATAATTAATCATTTGATTTGTTTCAAAATTACTCCCGGTCTGAAATGACGGCTTTAGGTTCAATGAGGTACATGTAGGTATAAAATCTGTATAAAAAACACTGGCAGTGTTATTTGTGATTTCAACAAATGAACTTTAAAATGTCCGAATTTTGTTCTTTCATGAGCTAAATAAAAACTTTATATAAATCCACATTTTTTCTCATCAAATTTCCCACTCACACCTCGTCAATTCTCTCGCTTTCGATAAAACACTATATTGAATACAAATCAGGCGGGTGACCTTTAATGGACTGAAAGTCAACATATGTTACAGACGCTTTAAAACAGTTTAAAGTCACATTCTTCTCCGTTAAGTTTAAACACAGGTTGCATAAAATGACTATATTATATCAAAACATCTAGCTCGATGTATACAATGCACAAACCAACCTTTCGCATTTAATTCAGGCATATTTTATAGATATCAGAAAACCCACGATTTTGACGATAATTACCTGTCTGTTAAATAATAAATAAATAAAAATAAATAAATAAATAGATTAATTAAAGACCTCAAGATATATTATCAAAATAATAGTTTTAAGATACAGGAGTCGAAAAAATTCTAACTTCAGTCTCCCTTTGCTTCAGTGTACCAATATACACCACACAGCTAGGTGAATTTGATATGACTATTGTGAATCAAATTTTGCAAAAAGCAGTTTAATATATATTAATATAATCTTCCCATAAATTGAATGCATCTACATATTTAACAAGCACCAGTTCTTTGTTAACTGGGCACAAATAAATAATTTTCACCAGCAACAATTCAAATTTCACAGTTTATTAAAAGAAAGATAAGCTCACATGAAATAAATGTTAAATAAATAAACTTATTTATGTTCAGTCTACAGTTACAATAGTCAATTTTATTGATAAGTAAACTATGAAAACAAAACACCCCACAAATATTAAGCGATGTTCAAGTTAAATGAACCCATATCTCAATTTCTTGTATGAGGTTATAGCAAATGCTCTCTTGAGCAAGCCCAGTAGAGAAATTGTTTTAATAGTTCTAGCCAAACCTATAAAAATTACTCACCAGACTGATAAACTACTGACATAGTGCAAATTTTGATATTAAAAACTTAAACAACGTTTCCAAATAACTCTCTTCACTCATGCCCATAGCAGCATGACCTGTCTTTTTATAGGTGACCTTATGACCTCGCGTGACCCAAATCACGCAGCCCGTTTCAACCATAGCAGGGAGACAAACACAGACATATTTAAAAAGACGAAATGTCAGGGGCACATTTTCAGTGCATGCGTACCCTAACTGGAATGCAAACAAACGTTTTGGTAAAGCAAATAGGGAATATTATACAGATGCTATTATGCTTCAACCTAGTTTTAAGACATATGACGTAATACGTTTAAACCTAGTTAAAACCTTAATTTTGCCTAAAAAGTAAGCACTTTTTTCCTCTTGTCTCCCCTACTTTCTTAGTCAATTTACCGTTCTTAAAACTGTGAAAAATACAAGTACAGGTATATACCCATAGGAGCACTGCAAATAGCTAGCACACGCATTTATCCCAATGGAAACGACGATGACCTTGGAATTGTGTAGTCAATAAAACCGTGAACCAATTGTCACACACATTTCATTAACATTTGCAGTTAGCTACTGGCAACAATTTAAAACTTTGTGGAAAAAAGTGAGCAAATTATTCAGGTATGTTGACATGCAGTGTCTCGTAGGTGCTGCTCCTGTTTTAACGACTGTTTTATATCAACCCCCGCCCTTTATTTTGCATACCATATTATATAGTGTTTTAACAACAACCGCATGTATTTCAGCTCAACTGCTTCTCTTTAGTTCAACTATTTTTGAAAGTTCCCATGTATTGATCTATTTCATTTATTTCATAGTGCCTTATTATTATTTTCTTTATTTATTTTATGTTTTAATACTCCTTCCCATGTAAACTGAATTGGGTACTAGTATTATTAATCCTAACCCCAGTACCACAATTCAGTAATATTATGAAATCGACTGAAAATCAATATTTGATATAGGAGTTATTATTTTTTATCCAATCGATAGTATCTGTCTCATATGTATTATTCTGTGTATAAATATATTCTTACATGTATATATTTTCGGCACAGGCATATAAATATAAACATCCAGCATGGCAATTAGCGTAGACTTCTGAACTGACACGCACAAAATCAATAGCGTAGGAAGGAAGTTCTTCGTTCTTAAATAATAAAATACATCCCACCTTTCTGGAAAAATATTCACTATGATCTATCTTGAACCATTTTAAAAGCTGACTTCTTTTTAATTTTTATCACTTTAATTTGGTACAATGTATGTAGCTTATTTATTTATGTTTGGATTACTTATTTTTCCATCTATATATTAATTTTTGCTTATTCATTTTTGTTTGTTTATACAGCTACTTAAACCCAATTATAATCCGCTGTACCATTGTAATATTGATCCAGTAGTACATGTATGCATTTTCAATAATTTAAAAAAAAAACTACGACAATAACCATAATAACAACATGATATCACTGACTGCGATGTTTTCCTGCGATACCTTCGCTATACTTCACTTAATCAAGATTAAATATTTGGTTAACGCGGAATGATTAATCAGCCATATAATTACAGAGAAATACATTAATTAACAGTCTTCTGGGGTCTTATTAATAACGAATAAATCATCCTTCATCGCATAGACTTTATCACAAATTTTTCAACGGTGACTGGTTCTTCGACAATTAAATTTTACTGATTTCTTTTCTTTTCTTTTTTATTTAGCAATTTTTCCAAGAAATTCGTGATGTTTGTAAACCTGTCGGCTACTAGGCATTTCTCAAATGTTGCAGTATTTCACGCATTGGGTAAATAAACTTAAATCCAAAACATATTATTTCATTGCATTTAAACAATATGATATAATGATAATGCATCTGTTCAGGGAGAAATATAAATGACTGAAAACGGCATTTTTTAAATCCTGGACTTATATCAAAATTGACATTTGCATACACTGTCACCGCTAATTTTCTGGACACTTTTAATTTGAAGCTTTATTTTATTTCATTTCATTTCATTTCATTTCTATTTTTATTCTCTTCTATATCCATGGCAGCCTGAGATTAATTGTCCCACAGTGGTGATTATATCCAATTCTGAATTCCCCAAATAATGCACTGTACCAGGCCTTCTATCTAGCTATATATATTTTTTAATTTCTATTATTATTATCATTATTTTATTTTATTTATTCTTTTTTGCAGATTGTGAATGTAAATATCAGTTCTTACATCTGGAGAAAGGTTTTTGCTATTACATAATTCACTACAGTCTCAGGGTAGTATCTGCTGTTTTCGTATGTCAGTTCACATGTACTGTGTATTTTAAACGATCCAGATCTGTAGAAAATACGGTCTTTCACGCTTCAGGAAGAGAGAGAGAGAGAGAGAGAGAGAGAGAGAGAGAGAGAGAGAGGGTGACATGGACAGTGACATCTGACCGTAGTCGTCTTAAGCACGTCGTCACAACATCCCAACAATGTCGGCCATTGTGTGCGGGCTGGTATCAATATTGTCCTCCACTCTGCACGTCACAGTCGCATTTGCTTCACTCAGTTGCACACTCACAATAAAATAGACCAGAGTTATTTTCTACTTCCTAGGCGACCTGAGAGTCCTACAATTATCATGAAACTCGAAAATTAAGCCGACACACAAATATTTCACGCTATTTATTTATTTATTGAAGCGGCGATAGCACTTACGATTATTAAAATATGTGAATGATGAGAAAGATACATGCCTTTTTTTCTTTTGTTTGTATTTTAATGCATTTCTCAATGTCTCAGATACGTTACGTAAGCTCTTACGAGTTATGTCAAAAGGAACAGAAAAATGTGCACAATGCGGAGTTGTGAGTTTTGTTAAAAATAAATACGGAAGTAAAAGAGGATAACAAAAATAATGTATGTGTCATCTTTGATCTGGAAAAACGCACAATAGTCATCATCCAACGCGAATGGGAAATGAAAAATTAAATAATTATACAACTCACGTCACACGAGCACCGTATTTAACAAATGTAAATAATAAATTATTATTATTTTTCATAATGACGAAAAACATGCTTAGATATGAAAGTAAAACTATACACCGAAACTCTGTTCAAAATGGGTAGAATTCACCAAGCACCGCAGAAATGAAATCACCCACGAGGAATAATATCACAGCGGGATTGACATAAACCTGGTCAACACTATCCATAATTCCTTTTCTACGAAATAATAATTTACACAATCAAATCCCAGGAATCGAGAAGAAATATATATTCACAAATCACCGTGCTATCTTTCCACCAGCCTTGCGGACCAGTTTCGCAACCGCTGGCACAGAAACAATATAGAAATCCCCGAGCCCTCCATACACTGCAGAATATTTTGCTTGAACTTTCGAGGCATCTGTGTATCGTCAGTTTTGCTTGTTCTACATTCCAAGACAAATTAGGGCTTGCACTACAGCGAGAGCGTGGAGTGGCCTGAATATTATAACCCTGGCTACGGGTCCCAGACTGTCACTTCCATTTTACGTCTATTTTCTCTCTCATTAAATATACAGTGCACGAGAATTGCGTAAAATAGGAGCTGTTTAACTGTGCATTCTAGTTTAAATAACGAAATGTATTCAATTTTGACAAATTAAACGTGTTTCATATCATGAGAGCCATGTAATTTTAAGATTCATGTAATACTTTGGCAGACCTTGTTATCTTGAGAGCATTTCAGTAGGCTGCCTTCATGTTTAATATCATTCTAAAATGGATCTTATTTGTTACAAAATCAAATCAAATCAAACCAAATTAAATTTCACGTAGGAATCAAAAGGAAATTTTCAAAGAAATTTAATTCAATACCATCCATATCTTAATATAAGGAAATAATAAATGTTGACAAATTATATGTAATTAAAACAACTGTAGAAGGCCCAAATTTAAAATGCTGGTTCACGACGAAAACATTTCTCACACAATAGATGATACTCAATCGTCAATATTTATAATTATGCAACTTTTTATAATGTTTAACTTTTTATAAGGTTTAGACTGCATACATGTACAGTAACAACAGGGTTAATGATGTCTTCATCTTCAGTCACTATCCACAAAACAGTGAGTAGAAATAAGCATAAATATATCTCTTTTTTAACGTACAAATACAGCTATGTCTGGACTGTTTTCCATTATCAGAATAAAAAACCAAGGAGTTAAATAGTTGTTTTACAATACATATAATTCGATGCTTTGGGGGACTTGGAGCTATGATGCTACTGTAGAAGCATATAATTATTATTTTGCATTTAACTGATGAATTGAAAGGACTGATCTAAATGAAGTACTAGGAATTTTGAATCACTTGTTGAGAACATAGACCTACACGAGTTAACTGTTGAATACCACGGCATGTCCAACTATTGCTTTGTCACCTACACACAGCCACTTGTGCAAAGAGCTGTACCTAGACATCCACATAATATACAATACGAACACTGTGATATAATCATTCATGTAAGCTGTCAAAGTTTGCCAATGGCTGTACACGACAATGCGCACGATAAACATTCTCAGAGAAATAATCGTTGGGCTTACCTCTTTAAAAGATGGGAGCCGAAGAGTAGCACAAACCCGGAAAAAACGCACGTAAAATCCTTCCAAATATCCTTATAGATATACAGTATCTCTTATTGAAAGGAACCAGTGAAACTAGGCACGGTCCTGCACATTCAGGGAAACCAAGAGCCTCCGAGAAAGGCTCCTAGACTGAAAGAGTTGCAGAAAAGCCAACTCCACACAGACAACCCCTACTTCCGTCAGCTGAGGATTAATGAGAGCGGGTCAAACAGGCAGCCCCGTGTATATCATTACTGGATTTACAGGGCAAACGTTAAGGCTGGCTAGCTCAGCAACAAGTCATCGATCATTTTTACCAGTACCCCAACAACAAACACTACATACCTGATATCTGGGACATCTGTCGCTTTGAATTTTGGCGGGATTCTCTCATCCACGGGTAGATTTCGGCAGGTTTAGGAGGCCCTCCTCCCGGTGGCTGGCCGGCCTCCCCGGGGGGCGACTCGGGGACCGAACAGACCGGGGTGTGCCCCCCACTACCCCCGCTTCCACCTCCTCCACCGCCTCCGCCGCCGTCGTCTTGCATGCAAGCATTAGAGTAATAGTCCGAGTTAGTTTGACTATTTGAAGAATTGATGGGCTGAAGAAGACAGTTCGTTCGATAGTGCTCCACGGCCATGGTCGGACTCCCACCGTTAAAATGTTGGTTATCGTACGCATAGCCGTTATGGTGAAAGTATCCCGGGTAGGGCTGGACAGAGGGGTCGTAATAGACTTTCTGCATCTCTCGACTTGTAAAATTTATTTCACTCTGACATGAGCCACTGCGGGACATGCTTCAGGTCTTGAGAGCAGACGGGAGGGGTCACGTGGATCAGCTCCACCAATCAGCGGTCGTGCTTGGCTGCTCCTTCTTGTTTATTTACAAGCGTCTGAAAATAAAAATCATGCTGGATTAGAGTAAACTGCGGCGCAACTTTGACATCAATTATGTTCTAAACACACATAAATCAAGACTCAAACCTGTCAGGGAGAGCAGTAGGTCTAGCTGCGTTGCGTAAAACAGACGCTGAGTTATGAATTCTACCAACTTTTTAAGTCACCGGTAGTACACACAAATATTGGCTGTGTTCCGAGGTAGATCCTATTTCTATGGACTTAAGACACGGCATATCTTGCAGAGAGGCGACCGACTGTTAACACAACACAGAACATCATATGGATCTACAGCTACTGATGTATCATCGTGTTTTCTATCTTTCTCCGAGCAAAGGTCCATTTTCCAGTTAACCGCACGCCAAGGCATCAGCGCGCCCCGTGAGGTAGGTAAGAAAAGAATACAACAGAAGCCTCTACGTTAGGACGTTCGAAATCTCCTGTGAAACGAACAAGAACGTCGAAATGTCCATAATCTTCAAGCGATAAGTGCAATATCTCACATCTCCAGCGACCTCGGGAGACTTGGAAAGTATCATGAGTCTTGTAACGTGTCAGTTTCAGATTTGTGAGTGTGTGAAACGATCAGAAAATTAACGATTCTCCGGGGGGTTTCTTAGGAGATTCAGCGGGCTAACGAGCTGAGTCTGATCGCGCGGTGGTTCGGTACAGTACGTCTCTCTGTTGCCAATTGGATAAACACTTTTGAATCATCAAGTCTTGCTATTATCACTAAATTTAAAATCCCATTTTGTTAAAGTCTGAGCTTAAAAACTCCTCACTTGCCTTTAACGTAAAACGACTAATTACAAGGGATACTTGGGATACTCGGGGAAAACAAAGAAAAAAAGACCCGTCGCCCGCATCAATTAAGTATCCTGCGTGTCAGGTCATCTTTTTAAGATATGCTCCGATTTCAGATCCTTTTCTTTCAAAATTACACGTTACGGGACGTACGGACTAGTGTATGCTATCTGAGGGCGCCTCATCTGAGCCCCCATATCCTTCAATTTACTTCGAAATAATACGTAACACTCTGCGTTTGATGTGACCGTGTCGGTATCACTTTAACGCAGTCTTGTCACGCCCCTGAGTGATATACTGGCTTGAAATTTGAGACCAGATATTCCCCGCTTATTCATTGCTGGGTCCCCCTTTGCCTTTCTGCAACTCAGAGGTATTAGCAAAGGGACACAATGGGGCAATTTTGACTGATTTCTAGCATTCTTGACTTATTGAATGCGAGGAAATACTATGGTCTTTCGTGCGAGACTTCATCGTATGTTGTAAAATGACACTTAAGCATGCATGCATCTTGTTCATGATTCTAACACCAAAATATTTGTCATTTAAGTGCTTCAGATTGATGAGAGTGGTTTGAATAATTCAAGTTCACGGCGGAACATATTTTAAAGAATTAGTCAATGAGGTAAAAATGGCGAAATTAGTTTTCATGAACCAAGTGTATATATATATATGTACATGTACCTATTTACTGTCTGTATACTGTTTCGTTTCGTGTTAACTGTCATTTAAATGCACACCAATTAGAGCGTGACCCGTACGCCAGTGTGCTTATATTATGTGAAATATGGCCCTGAAGATACAATTTTAAAGGTCATGTTACCCCCCCCCCCCCCCGAAGATATTATACGCCATTGTGGCTAAATTATTATTATTATTATTATTATTATTATTATTATTATTATCTGTATTTTTCGGGGGGGGGGGGGGTTAAGCCAGCTCCATTATCAGATTTGAAATAAATCAGATTCGTTATGATTACTGAACAATAAAGAAAATATTCGCGCTTGTTTAAAAATTACGCGCGTTTTACTAAATAAAAACAGCGCTGACGGTAGTAGGGGCCTGGTAGTTGCTGAACCACACACGTCAGAGAACATTTTAAAATATTAGGAAATCATGGCTTTTTAGACAGCAGGTATTTCATCAGTGTGCATTACTACGGAAACAAATGAAATACGTTTAATTACAACTAAGAAACCTCAATGACAAAAATGCTATAGCAATTACCGCTACAATTTGCAACTCTGCATGCCTTGGTGATACACATACTATTCAGTCTTTTACGTGAGGGTAAGCGATTATTTTTTAATCAAGTGAATCGACACCTTTCAACACCGAAAACTGACGCACTTCACCGAAAAATACGGGTTATTTATTGATGAGATTATCAAACTGTAGTGTTTTATGCGGCTTAATAATGCCATGGGAAACAACGGCACGACCCCAAAAAATCAATGGCAATAGCATGCCGCATGTTGCACTACCGAATGAGTAGTACCAAATTGAGCGAACACACCCTGTGGCAAGAGTGTAACCCCCTTATGTACGTTGCATTACAACTTGTATTATTCCCCTTCGTATGCTAGGGACACGCTGTGAACACATCGCTTTCGAGTTAATTTCCGCGGTATTTTCTCTCCAATCCCCACGAGCCCAATACGGAGATGATTATATTAATAAGTGCTACTTCGTACATAATTGAAGAGAAGAGGTCGAGAGCTAAGCTTTCTGATTTTAAGGAGAAAATACTTTATTTAACTCTAATTATGATCAATGTTTAATACTGTGCGCAGTCATTTGAAAAGTATGTAGAGTTAATTTTGAAATGGGTGTGCATTTTGTTATAAAACAACACGTTTAGTTGAATAAACAAGCAATAATAACAAAAGCATTTGGAAAATTATGCACCATTTCACCATTTAAATGTATGGAACTTATTATTTTATTTCTTCAAAATTTCTAACGCTCTTTCCGAATAATTCAGTGCCAAATTATCCAATATCCACAAGTAACGGATTTTTCTGAAGAGTAACTCTCGGCTTTGATTTTTATTTTATTTTAATCTAAATTAACATCTCCAAATTACGGTTAAAAAACTCACCTCATCATGAAAAAGCTTCTTTTGTTAGTGTACGCGTTCCACGAGTCTTTATATTTTAATTTTGTTTACTGTTTTCTGTGCTCAGATGGAGGAAGAAAAGAGCCGTAAGTGAGGAAATGCCCATTTGTCGAGTAATATGTACACACTTGATTTCCACTCTGTAATATGAAACTCCCGCTTTAGACTTGAGAGGCCGCTCACAAAATTCGGATGTAGACTCGAAGTGTATGGATATCCGACCTCTCCAGCTTTCTAGTGGTCTGGTGCGGTTAATTTCTGCAGACTATGAGAACAGAAGAATTTTTTTTAAACTATTTTTCTGAAGAATTGATATATTACAATTTGTTAATTTTTTTCCCGTCGGTGTTTTGTGATTTTTTTGTGGTCTACAAGATGTAAAAATAATTTGATAAGAGCTTCAACTGATACATTAAATTGTTAAACTCATTGTTAAATCTTATGGACAAACAATATAACCGTTACTACGATTTCCTTAAATTAGACTTCATTGACAGACAGGTAAACATGTGACTGGATAATCTTCCATACAAACTCTTACACGGACTAGGATATTAATATTAAAATTTTGAAAAATAAAAAATCGAAAAGATAAAAGCTCAAAGAGGAATAGCCTTCATTTGTGACTCACCGAAAGTCATCTCATACTTATAATCTTCTATTTATTTATTTATTTATTTATTTATTTATTTATTTATTCTTTTTGAAAGAATTTTATTTTAAGCAAAAATGCCGCCGGATGACACGCTCAATTAGGTGCCAATACCATGCATTATTCTTGTTCAGTTTAAAACTTTAGTTTTAAATTTCAGTTTAAAACTTTAGTTTTAAATAACTTAAATCAGAATTGCAGTTTTTCTGAGACATTCAGGTAGAAATAGTGGTGGCAAATATGTTGATTCTAGCAGTGTATTTTACACATTTTAACTGACAAGAAGTGTATTATCAATTCATATCAAGCTATACTCCGCACTAGTTTTTTGAAGAAACTGGTTGATATATAATAAACATATTTCTAATTACAAAAATAGAGAAAAAAACATATAATGGAGGTGATACGTGGGAAATGCTCTGCAGTTTTCATTCCATGCACGAGTGAGTTTAGTAAAAAGGACAATAATCCATGCACCACTTTTCGCCGGTCTTTGAGTGTGGCTCCTGGCAATGCATGCCAGTAGCGAGCCTCACAAACATGCTACAGCAACCTAACTATAGCAAGGCCTTCACATCAGGGTCAAAAATCCCATAAACCTGTCAGTGGTTTTATACCAGGCTCTTTCTATTTTCAGACACCATACTCGACAGCTGTTTATAAATGAAAATTGCGTCACTGGGACATCAAAGGGGGATCAGAAGTAATAGCCGGTGGTCAGTGCGCTCGGACAGAGGTCAGCCCAGTGATTGGTCGGACGGGAAATTTAATTGTTAAGTATAAATCGAAAAATCAGATACAGACTCAAGTGATTTGATGTTTGAATGTACGGAAATTCCAAAAAAAAAGTAGTTTTTTTTTTTAGATGGCGGGATGTGCCATGACGTCAAATTGTATTCATCATGTTTTCCTTGTGATAGATTCATGTATAAATCAGATTCGACATCTCAGGAAATTTGGAAATAAAATCTTAACTTTTTACGCCAGTGTTTTTTCCCTTCAGAGGTCACCTAGCACTGATGTATTTTATGTTTTGAGAAGTCAATCCAGCAATAAACACGTTCGCCAGATCTCGACTCACAACCAGTCTTTATAGTCATTCCCCCCTACCGCTGTACCTCCAAGACAGATTTCAAAGTAGAAAATTAAACGTTCTTAATTTCAAAATAATTATACACGACGAACCCATGTTTTCTTTTCAGTCGTACAGCGATTTACTAAACTTACACGAGCATCATTTAATACTGAATTCAGCCGTCATGTAATCTGTCGAATGAGACCCGCTGAGATTCAATAAAGTTAGCCGTGTTCCTGCAAGTGAGCGGTCTTTTAAATGAGATTTGATGAGGACAGGCATAAAGCCGAACGTTCAGTATTGTTGTCCGAACATTTAGCCCCGAGTAAGGTCTACAATAAAAACTCGATTGGTTGGAATTTGATCTAGTTTTAGTGCGGTTACTTAATTAACGTGATTTTAAATTAGAATGAGAATCAGCCAAATGCCAAACGCGGGTGCGTTTTGAAATTTGCCACAAGTTGTTTTTCTTTTTAACCTTTTAAATAATTCTTTAACTCTTTTATATTTTGTTTTTCGCTTCCAATGCTGGGTGTTTATTTTACGTTTATTATTTCGACCATTGCAACACGCCAGTGATAAATGCATTGATATATGATATATTCAATGTCTAATATATGCAGTTTGATAACGTCGCCCAGTTTCCATACACTACTAAGCCAATACATTGCCGATCATCACCTAAAAATTCGAAATCTGAAGACACATTTTCCCGCCTTTATTGTCCTTACTTTTCTTTAAAGCAAAATCTTGCTTCTTCACTGTCCTTTCAGCAACATAACAAAATATAAAATCGCACACCCACCACTAAAATTTCAAGGCAACCAGAAACACCGGTTTCATGTGCACATATTGCCTTGTTGTGAAATTTGATCCTCCACATTGCACATTTCAGTGACCCAGAATCACTGTATACCAGACATGAGCATTAAGAAACACTAAACTCGTCTATATTTATGAGCAGGGCTGCTTGTTATTACGCGAGGGTAAATGAGAGTTCCCGCCCCCCTTTCACATACACACACACGCACACGCACGCACACGCACACACCTCAAGTGCTTGATCGACATCTTGCATGTTGTCTCATTACGGATACAAAGGATATTTTGGCTTTTTTCCACGAAAGAAAATTAGTCGAATACGTAGTTATAAAAATATAAAGCTGTTCAATTTCTTCAAGACATAGCTGAAAGCTTTTTTCCCCAATACTTTATGAGTAACACTACTACATGGCTCAGTTTTCATCAGGATAGTCGACTACATTTTGAAATAAACTATATTTTTAACTTGTTTGCACGCGTAATATTCTGCAAAGGGTCTCTCGCCAGAATGTCCGTTCGCTTATTGTCTTATAAAGGAAATTCCAGACATTTGCAGTTAAAGTCACATTAAATGGACCCCTTGGTACACGGTGTACAGGAAACCACAGTTAAAGGTCTTCATATTCGAGTTTGTGGTGCATCTAAATAGGGGATAGTCGGGTGTGTTCAATTTTAGGAAAAATAGGGGCATAATTAAGTTAGTTTTCTGTCATTTGATCCGCGGCCTACCCACACCTCTTACAGAAGCGAGAACAGATATCCTTTCGTGTCTTTCAATAAGGCAACCACCCATGACTTCACATAGAGGCGAGAGGTTACGATATAACTTTTTTTCAAAATATAGAGGCCACACTGCATAATAAAACAACGGGGCAAGCTAGATTGATGTATTCATGTATCTAACCCGTGGATTCGCTCGTTGGAATATTTGGGAGAGATAATTGTGAATAGTTGGATCATGAAAGCAAAACACCGAATTCAACATAAGAAAATAGTTCATATGCTTGAACACATAGATCATGCGATCAGGGGCGAGGCAGCCCTGGACTCAGTATACGGAACACCTCTCTCACTCACTCGCTCCACCGCCAATTGACACAGGGCAGCGAGACTATGGTGAACCCAACAATTTGGAGCAGACTTACTTAAAACCAGTTGAATGTCAAGTTCTAATTAGCATCGCAGCGTCTAGCCGGGGTTTTTATTTTAAAAGGGCAGAGAGCAAGCAACGGGACGAAGTGGCTGCCTTTGAATAAGTCACGTGTAGCCCCACCTACGTTGAATGACGCTGATTGGTAAAATAATCGATTTAAGTGTATCTGCCTCGCCGTTTTGGGTATCAATTAAATAAGTTTTTTTCCTATAATTCTGTTACTTTCGTTTGTATTTAGAACTGCTTCAAACGGGTTCGTTTTATTTATGGCTGCATTTAATTTACGATTTTTTAAAATTTTATATGGGTTTTTATATTTTCTGGATTTAGCAAGTAATATTTACAACGGCATTTTATACATTCAATACATAATTTGCAATAAGTCTTTAAAGGCATATCTTTCTCTTTAAATACAGAGCGTTTCAGCATACAGTGTCAAAATAATTATGTGGTCGATCCTTTGAAGCAAACGATTTTGCGACATTTGGGTGAATTTTGTGCCATTTTGTTGATCTTGGTGACCTGAACATCCCGGGTAACTGTCAGGTGTCGAGAAACAGATGATACTCCTGATAACCCAATCAGCTATCTGGAGATTTGAATGAGGCGATGCCTGTGCCCAAACCGACGTCAGGAAAGAAAGTATCGCATTAAATATTAGGGTTACACAACACTATTCTGTAAAGACCACGTCTTTGTATCATTAAATGACAGGGCTGATATATTTTCATAAATGTGCATTAGTACATGTATACTCTCGCCCATAAAACAGGAATGAGGTCTACAGCCATTTATCTGGTTTTACCCTGCCTCCTTCATCCCCCCCCCCCAAAAAAAAAAAGTGCACGTGCGTCACAAACAAAAACGCACAGATACACGTTCGCAAACGTGCGCACACACACACACACACACACACACACACACACACACACACAGTTGAACAAGCATTTTCCACAGTATTATAAAATCTTTAAGGTTGTCTGGCACTTACCGGTATGTTCATCGTTCACACATGTAATCCCATAAATAAATCTCCACAACTGAATTCCAATAACCTCACTTTCAATATTAATTTTTCGATTGTTTTAGTATGTACTCGAAATATGTCCTGTTTCGCGTGTATCTACGTATGACAATGCTTCATGACCAACGAACAGACTGATGGGCGTATGATAGGAATACGGCCTGTTCTCGTCTAGCTTTGGCAGTAGCAAATTAAGGGGACTAAACACAAAAGTGAAACAAACGACTCACAACTTAACTATGTTATTGTACTTTTTACTCAATACATTTGGAATGTACTATGGGGCATGTGCAACAATAAAAAGTTGTTGTTGTTGTTGTTGTAATCGTTCTAATGGGATTTAGTGGGACATTGACCAGTCACGTCTTTTACTTTGCGATTTGTTTAGTCCAGAAATACAGAGATATGTTGTAGATAATTCGAAACACAGCTTAAAAGCACAAGTATAAATAGAAAATCAAAGCTTAAATGTTGGAATGGGTTATGAATACGAAACATAGGCGTTAAATTTAGTTATTTTATTTTTGTTTTTCTTTTTTTGTTATTTATCGTTATTATTTGACATCTGCTTTCAGGGGTGACGGAGAAAAAATCCTTACGAATATGAAACTTCCCAATCTTTTAGATTCCTCATTCATTTAGGGTTACATCATACAAAAAAAACGTCACAGTTTTCCTTAATTTTGTTCCGGTTTAGATACAGCTGTTTATGCAGTTGACATTTTTAGCTTCTATGGTACACGACATATGATTTAGCATGATATTTTACTAACACTTTGAGAATCGTATGCATACACGGAAGTTGTTTTAATGCAAAAATGAAAATATAAAATATGTTCTTTTGAAAATAGCGCATTTAGAAAGCGAAACTCACACAGGACTGATGGTAAACGTATTGCAAAGCCTGTTCATTCCACACCATAACTGACAAATGGACTATTTTATTATCAGTAGATAATATATCGACAAGAACGAGGTGGCATTTTGTCATACCTCCCCATTTCTGATGTCAATACTCTTTTTATTGTGCTATTCAAGTCACATTCAGAAATCCATTAAAATGAAACACAGTCATGAGCAGATGGCACAGGCCAACCCTTAATTCATATCCCTGTTAATATTCATATATCACTCCAATTCAACAAGAGGTCATAACCTATTGTGTATTAGGTCAGAAAGACAAGAGAATTAAGATTACATTATTCACTGATTCATTCCAGTGATTTATTAAAGGCGGAAAAACATCAATAATTAACTTTCATAGTGTGTACATTTTTCATCTTTCGAGACATTAAAACTACGGTTATGAGCTCTAGCTAATCCGTGTATTATTTGGTATTGGTGTGCTACATAGCGACCTAGAGATATACCTGGCGTTACACTACAATAAGTAACTTGTCATAATTTGGGTTAAATGCACGTAGTCTTTTGTGGTTATTTTATCCCTTTAAATTGTTTTGATCATATGAAAATATGAACGTTGTTAACATAATGGGCTTACGTCAACTTTTCAATGCCAGACAGCGTGACGGAGTCACATCAGTGTTCACTTTATGTTTAAAGTACACTTTACCTTGAAATGTCAAGTGTCGTCTATAATGAGCAAATGTTTTGTATTAAATAAGGCAGGCTTTGCGTTATATGACTTATGCATATATATATATACCAGATTTATACTATCTAAACGATGTCAAACGCAAAGACTCAGGATATCGAAAGTTAGTTATGCATTTTGGTCCTGACAAAAACTATAAAATATCAATTAAAAATCGGGTATAACTGCCCCATACAATATTTGGAATGTATTATGAATACTTAAGAGTAGACATTAGGTTTCATGAATTATCATGCGTCAATATATTCTCAATAAAACGTCGACTTTAGGAACCTCTCGTTCATTGAAGCGA